TCTCTCTCTCTCTCTCTCTCTCTCTCTCTCTCTCTCTCTCTCTCTGCCAGTGGGATGAGACCAGGTTTTGACAATGTTATTGAATTTGTGCAAAGGCAGGCGAGCCAGGGTGCATAAAAACGGGCTGCTGTAATTTCATGCTGTACTTAGTTTTTGTCAACCAACCAGGACAAACTGCAATGGATAGAGTCAACCACTTTCACTTCCTACGCCGGGGCTGGTTCAACAGGCCCCAAAAGCCTGGTTGACAAACTGCAATGGATAGAGTCAACCACCTTCACTTCCTACACCGGGGCTGGTTCAACAGGCCCCAAAAGCCTGGTTGCGAGGAATCAAGGGTAGGCCTTCTCATTACTAGGTAGTGTTCTCATCACACAACTAGACATTCTCACAACTTCCACACGTTTGCAACTTGTTAAAGAAAGAAAACAAAGGTATGCAATGTGTACACCTCTTACAACTGTTGTCATTGGTCAATGTAGGTGATCAATCTGGAATTGTGTACTATGAAGACCGCCACTACCTTGTTCTTCCGAACAAAACACTCCCTCATGATGACTGTGTTCGAGAGGAATGATAGGATGTCTACATTCATAATGAGGGTGTGTTATGTTCGAGGGGAGGCGGTAGTCCCAACTGACAACCGTGGTCCAGTCTACAAGGCCAAAGAATGCACGCTATGAATGGATCAAAACCAAGTTACGTAGGCTGCTATCAATTTATCACGATATCATCAATACAAGCAGGATCATGAACCTCCTCCACCCTTTTTTTTTTTTTTTTTTTTTCAAACAGAACCTCTCGATTCTGGCTCCTGCCATTCTGGGGAGCAACAGTCCGGTTCCTGTTCCCCCGGCAAGTCAAATATGAATACAATGAAAACACACGCACGCTCCGCCCCATTCTGGCTGAGAGGCCCGAGTTAGCCTATGTCCTCTACCTTCTGATCCTCTGAGTTGCCTGGCTCCTAGCTCCTCTCAGCTGAGTGCTGTCGGATAAACCTGAATGTTAGAGCTGATGTCCAGGGCTGGCATCTAAGGGTTTGCATGAACCTCCTCCACCTGTTTTTGGCCAGTTTTAGATTTTGTTTTCAGTTGCTGTTATGTGTATTTGCCAACGACTTCTTTTCAGTTGTTGTTATATGTATTTGCTAATGACTTCCATTCGTCAGGCTTGGGATGCTTATTGGTTGTTGCTTCCTCTGTATGACTGGATGAGGTTGATGGTGGTCTCTTGTATATGGTGTCAGTGAGAATTTGTGTTCGCTTGTGGAAGGGGCGGATCGACTAGCTGTGAGTGTTATCTGGGAGATTGATATGGAGGATGATATTTCCGTGGTTGACGTATGGATTGGGAGGACCATCATCCGGTCCAGTCACCAGGTGTGCAAAATCTTCCCCATGGCCTTAACCCTCCCATACTCCTCACTTTGGCTAATGGCATTACCCCTCGGAAATTTCATTGCTGAAGCCTGAAGCCCCGATTTTGGAGTTCTCAGTAAAGATTTGGGTAGCAGCATTGCATGGAGTGGTCTGTGGTCCACACAAAGAGCAGTGGGTGATGGCAAGGTGAGAAGATCAAGGAAAGCCACTTGAGCGGTTGTCTGGTTTCTGATCCCCTTTTCAACCTTTCATACGTTTGAACCTGTGCAATTACTTCATTTTGGCACATAATCAGGGAGTTTGATTTCAACACAGAGTAATGAGGGTTGTTCGTTTTTTTCCGTTTGGTTGTTCTTCTGACCAGACAATTAGCGTCCTTCATTGGAATTCAGAGAAGTGTGTCAAGTGAATAGCTCAACAACATCTCTCTCTCTCTCTCTCTCTCTCTCTCTCTCTCTCTCTCTCTCTCTCTCTCTCTCTCTCTCTCTCTCTCTCTCTCTCTNCTCTCTCTCTCTCTCTCTCTCTCTCTCTCTCTCTCTCTCTCACACACACACACACACACACACACACACACACACACACACACACACACACACACAAGCTTCAACGGGTATCGAAATAATTCAAATGAAGAAACGAAGAAGAGCACAAGAAGAGAGGAAAGAACTCCTATTTGTAGCCGCTAGCGGCAATTTATTTGGACTGGAGAATGACAAATAGACAACATAAATGGGAAAAAAAAGTCCAACAAGAGAGGTCTGGTTCAATGACCCAGTCCATTAAGATCAAGCACGAGATTCCCTCCCGCCTAACCCAACGTGGCTCAGTACAACGAACACAGGAACTACGTACAAGGGATAACTAACGAAGCAATGGAGATTTTAGTGGAGTAGACGACCGCAAGCCAGCCTACGGACTGTGCGTCAGAGTTTGCAGAAACATGCAGTCAAGATCCCCTTGAACGTGAGTATCACATCCTTAGTGTGCCCCCTCCTTTCAGTAAGACAGGAAAAGCTTGCAGTGGCTTTAGATTTGGCAGCAAAGGGGCTCTACTTCGTTGGACCAGGTCCCACTAGGTACTGAAAGGTCCCAGATAGGCCAGTGACCTAGTCCAAGGGTCCCACCTTGGTTTCAAATCTATCCCTGCGGTACTGGAAGAAAATGGCAAATTTTAGAAAATCCCTACTCAGCTACTCCTATTCAGAACGAAAGAACAAGAGCACTATAGAAAGATATGCAAGACTAATCAAGATACTTCCATCCATCCATCCGTCAGGTGAGAGAGCAGTATACAAACTCATGCACATCAGCCAAGATCATAGAGAGTAGTGAAAGAGATCCAGCATACCCCATCAGGCCATGGGGGCCCATGCACACCACCATGGGCATCCCTCAGTTACATGGCACTTACCTCCGTGGCCCGGATTCTTAGATGTAGTATAACTCACCCCCTTCTCATATGTCCTGACGCATCGAGCAACCTCTACACTGGTGCCCTAGTAACTTGGGAGGGCCTACTCTAAACCAATATACACCACCGCATCCCTCATCGATGTTGAAGACCAATCAGCAACTTCCAGTCCTTCGGTGCAGCCATGGCTACTTCTCTCAAGCTCGACTTTTGAAGAGATCCCAAAAGTTGCTCAATGTCCCCCTCAAGCCTAGATTCCAGGTGTGAGTGCCTCTTACTTTCTCCTCCCTCTAATCACTACGAGAAGTCGCCCCTAGTGTTAGCTGGGTCATATGTCAACCCTACAAGACCCGGACTAGGCGGGGGAAGCTCCCACTTACGTGGCCACCCCACTTACCTCGCTAACCTACCCTAATCCGAGATTTAGTAGCCCTAAACTTTATTGGACTAGGGTTAGGGCAATAGGACTTCCTCTCGACAGCAAGTACGTACCGCTCTGATACCAACTGTTATGATCCTGGCTATCCAGAAGTGCAATTATTCAAAAAAAGACAATGCCATTCAATTTCAACTGAAATGAAAGCACTTGGAAAGAGAAATAGACAAAGGAAGAAGACAAATTAAGAATGGAAGAAGAAGAACAAGAAGGTGTACTCCAGCAAAGACCAATTTCAAATCCCCATCCAGCTTGCCATCACCTTCAACCTCTTTATCTTCCTTAACCTCTTGTTTTCAATAAATAATTGTAAAAACAATGAAAGAATGACCTAGAACCATTGTACGAATTTCCTCCTTACTGCCAGCAACTCATGAGGTCCACCATGGTCATGTCCTACACCTTCTTCCACCTTCTATTAGTAGGTGGCTATTGCGGACTAGCGGAGCCTTGCTCCAATGTTCAAAGGACAACTCAAAGCTGATGTGCCCTCTCTACTACGGCCGACATGCCTATCTCTGCCCCGAAGTCTTCTTCGATGAAGCCTACCCCCTATGGGGCCTTCCAGGTGCAGCGCCAACCAAGAAGTTGAAGATGCCGTTCACCATAGCCAGGAAAGCACCCCCATCACTCTCCTCCTTGCTCACCTTCTTCCTCCTCCTCGTCCTACACCCCAGAGCCTGGATTCCACCATAGCTGAGTGGAGGGACCAGGCTGCCTTCTTCCTCCCCAGTGCTGGACAGGCCAAGCGCTCGCTCCAGCAGCATGATGCCAAACTTGCACACTGCGAAATGAGGAGCACTCCGTTCCTCCGAGAGATATACCGAGCAGCTGCTCCCTTGGGCGGTGACTTTCCAGGTCGGCGTCCCAATCTACTGGTACCGTCCTCCGTTCGGAGGGAAACATCATTGCAGGTCTGATTTCCTTCGCTTCAGGCCCTAGACTCAGACTACTGGGCTGGTACACCTAGACCTTAGCCTGCCAGACTTCTAAAATTCAGTCGGCCTCTAAATGTACAAACTTTTTGTCTCCTTCTGCCTACCTACCCGCTACTCAAGTGTTCTCCAACCTACATGGGCCTAGCCTACCCGCTACTTGAGTGTTTTCCATCTACGCGGGCCTAGCCTACTTCTACACCCCGCTGCAACCCACAACAGCACGACCACAGGTACTTGGCTGTTTTCCATCTACGCGGGCCTAGCCTACTGGTACACCCCGCTGCAACCCAAAACAGCACGACCACAGGTAAGTACCAGGCCTGAGGGGCCTTGCACACATGCAAGCACCTTGCCGGGTCACACACACACCCAAGCAATCATACACTCAGACAAACAGACGAAACTCAGCAAGCATGCACAGACACAATGTTAACTTAGAAATCTGAGCCGAAGTGGGAATCTCAGCACGTCACACAATCCAGCGGCAAAACTCAGAAATCAGCAGAGTTCTCAGTCTGTGATTTTGCAGGTCATTACAAGTCAAAAGAGTAACGACTCTAGGAATGGAGGCCAGACACTCTTACAGCCCCCCTGGGGTATAGCTCCCAGCTTACGGTGAGGTGGCGATTGAGTGCGGAGCCTCTGAAGAAGAAGTGAAGTATTGGAGCCCATTGAGACCCTTAGTATTGTTTATTATATTATCAGGAGTCGTTCTTTGTGTTCCGGTCCATTCTTTTGGCTTTCATGTGTGTTGAAATTGATACCCTCATTGATGATTGGTTTGATTCAAGGCTTGATTGACGTTAGTTTGGAACTTTGGATGTATATAAGCTTCTGTTGTGCACGCTGATTCTAGTTTTCTTATCAGAGCAGCCTGTTATGACGCTTTTAGAGTCTCTCCACGCATCACACTTTTCCTAGCATGGCGTATAGGGCTTCTAGAGCCTCAAAGGATGTAAGCGCCACGGCCTGCACCTGGTGCTTACAACACGCCAGATGCAGATGTTAAAACACTTCAAAGTTCACACCCTCTACATTGGGCCTGGAAATTCCAGGCTCTCAGTCCCTTTCCCTCTCCAGTCCACACAGTAGTACCCTAGTACCAGGTGGATCTGGCCATTTTCTTTTGCCAGTTCCAGCCAGTACCACCGGCTGGATTTTCCAGGGCCTTCTAGGCCCTGGCTCCTTTCAGCTTGCCACACAAAATTTCTAGGGCATTGATCTGATTGATCTTGCGGCCGAGATTTTCCTCTCGACCTCTAGCAGTTTCTCAGCCCCTATGCCTCTCCAGTCCTTTTCATCCAGTAGAACCATACTTGCAACCGCACGGAATCGTGCAGGTTTTTTTTATTTTTATTTTTATTATTTTATCTTGTTTTAGGAGGGGGAATGGGGGGGTGTATGACAGGAAGATGAGGATATGGCGAGGAGAGGGGGATATGGAGAGGAGGAGGAGGATGTGGACGAGGAGGATGACAAGGATAGTGAGGACGGCGAGAAGGAGGAGTCGAGATGGGGGAGGAGAAGAGATGGACGGAGGGAAAAGAGGAAGGGCAGGAGGAGGAGGACGAGTGGAAGGAGGAGGAGACATGGACGGCAAGGAAGGGGAGGACACGAGGAAGGGAAGGAGACGAGTAGGCATGGAAAATGAGGAAGTACGAGGAGGAGGAGGAGACAAGGAGGATGAGGAAGGGCAGGAGGAGGAGGATGAACAGGAGGAGGAGGAGGAGGAGGAGGAGGAGGAGGAGGAGACTAAAAGGAGAAGGGAGGAGGAGACATGGAGGATGAGGAAGGGGAGGAGGAGCAAGGTGAGGCAGTACTCCTGTAACTTTTTTTTAATCTCGGCCTCAAACGCATAGTTTTGACCCCGGCCTTTTTCTTTTCTGAGGGGGCTGACGGGTCGTTCCCCGCACACGTCGTGCGCCGCACGGGATCGGTTGGGCGCGTGCACCGCACATAGAGAACCGCCCGCACAACGTGCGCTTGCAAGTATGAGTAGAACCGAATGAATCTGGCCTCTTCCCAAGCTGTACAACCAATACTACCGGTTGGAAGGTCCCAGATACTTTGGCCTGCCTCCAGGCGCTACTGGACTGCAAATTTGGCCTTTGATCTGGCCACATTCACAGGCCGGTAGTTCTTCCTTTGGGGCCCCGCATCTGACCTTCCTAAATTGGCGGCGCAAATTTTCTACATCAGCTCTAGAGCCTCCCAGAGCCTCTAGACCTTTCAGGCCTTCCCTTCCCAAACGGTTACCCAGTAGTACCGGCTGCACCTGGTCCAAAGGTCTGCCAGGTACATCTAGTATGCCCCTTTCTACTGGCCTGTTCAGGCCTTTCTAGACCTAGTGGTCACCCATCCCGATACAACCTTGGCCCAGCTGCACTCAGCTTCAATGTCAGGATGGGATCATGCACATTAGCCAAGGTATGGCCGTACCATACCTGTCTAAGGCCCGTCTAGGTTCTTCAGGCCTTCTTTCTCCACGGTTACCCAGCAGTACCGGGTGTACCTGCCATGAAGAATGCGGCCTGGTCCAGCCGGTACTACTGGATAGCTTTCCTCTTGCCCTGTCCACGCCTGTCTGGGGGAAGGATTTCAGGCGCCCTTCGGCATGCAGCGTGCAATGCCCCCTCCCCTTGATACAAGGTTTCCATGTCTCTTAGGGCCGCCTGCCCCAACCTTCGACCTGGGCAGCCCTGCAGAACTCCTGGTTGGTCAACCAAGCTGCCGGCACCTGCACATGGCTGTCGACGCACCGAACGGACACCCTTGTAAGGGTGTCCATTCAACAGGGTCACGCTCTAGGCTATATGGAAAGAGAGACGCGGCATAACCCTGGAAGGCGCCACGAACCCACGAGAGGTGGTCTGGGCGGCCACCAAGGTATGATAAAAGCTGAGGTCCTGAGCCACTGGAAGGTGGTCAGAATTTGGGTGCAGAACAATCCACATACAGAACAAGTGGTGCTGGCAAAGTTCAAGCGGATATGGTTGGCTGGCGGCAAAGTAGCATGGCTGGATGGCCTCAACATAAGGTGGAAGGACTGGCACAACTCAGACATAACTTCAGCATGGGAGGCCACCCAGGCACAAGAAATCTCAACACCCATATGGGCGTAGCGCAACATCCAGGAAGACCTGTAGGGGAATGTTGATGCAGAGGACACGTGGACACGAGAAAGAAGACATAAGAAGAGATCATGATTGGGACCAAATTGACACGCTCTCTATTAATCTCAGTAGTCTAGAATTTCAAGTAGAACCGACAGCTGGGGTACACTCCAGCTGAGAGGGCTTAGAGAATAAGAGGCAAGCTCGCAGTCAATCCTCCATGAAAGTGGAGTAATCAATGCTGCTTGGGGGTCGTTCGGCCGAATGGAAGGAAGTGTGAGTGAGTACCTTGATGTACTCTTATGACTTGCCAGCGGAAAAGGAACCGGACTGATGCTCCCCAGAATGGAAATGGAGCCAGGACCATAAGGCCCTGTTCTTTTGAAAAAGAAAAAGAGAAAAAAAAGCACTGACTGCATAGCCAGTCTGCACTTGCCCTCAGTAGGCAGAATCTGGCCTTATTTTTCAATTTGGTGACAGGACATCCAGGGGAGGGTTGGGTGGTATGAAGGGGTTTGGACTCGAGAGGAGTCGAGAGGGGTGTATCTTGACTTCTCTTTCTCTTTTATCTTGAAATAAAGTAGTTTCTAGGTGACCGTAAAGCCGAAGTTGTTTGCCTTGTGATCTTACACAACACAAGAGGTTGCCCGCCACGGTTTCACCTGTGGTGCGCACCTCCGGTCCGTTCTCTTTGCTTTCATCTGCCCTGAAATTTGCTGGTTCCATTAATGATTGGTTTGATTTAAGGCTTGGCTGACATTGCTTTGAAGTGATTACGCTTTGTTGTATGGGCTCTTTGCAACTTAAGAGGGATTGGGAAAAAAAAAGGAGGAGGGGAAAAACAGAGTGGCAAAACTGCATAACCGTTCCTGCAAGAAGTCATTCTCCGTCATTTCTGAGAGGGAAAATGCAATCCTCATTAGTTAAGTTGTTGGGTTCTCAAGGTGTAGAATATCCATTCAGAGCATTTTTGACGTTTGTAACACTAGTGGTATTAATACCGTATTATGCATCTACTTACGAGGCTGGTGTTATGTGTGAACCAAACAGATGACTTATGCACAAGCCCAGGCCATCCTGGATGGGAAAGAGCTGTTACCAGACCAACAGTTACAAGGTGGAAAAGAGGAAGTTGCACGTGTGCGTCAAGATCTTTTGATTCTTAGTGCAGTGGGAGAGGTGGGCTTCGATCAGCTCTCTTCAAATGACTAATAGAGGATAGGACCCAAGGCATGATGCTCTGGCAGGCTAGTTGTTGCTGATTACGATCTCTTACTGTAGTCCAAATTATCATCTTGCCCTGAACACAACGGCCTGTAATTATAAACACATACCACCTCGTGACCTCAGTTCTGGCCCAATACAGTTATTGCGTCTGGTGAGAGATATGGCTGACTAAAGGACTGGATAGCAAGACACAGTCGGCGCATGACGATAGCAAAGACACATTTGCCCATACAATCACAGCTATCATGCATGCATATCGTGAGCCAATCAAAGTCTGACAGCGCTGCTCACCACGTTCATTTAGATATCTCCATGGAAAACACGAAAAGTGCAAGCGCTAAAGGCAATAATTTTAAAGATAACATGACACTCCAAAAACCATGCCCGAATGAGTGATCCCATTCTCCATGGAGGAGAAACAAAGGCAAGGGCCGGTAGGCGTGTGCCATCTTCTTTTTTTTTTCTGTGCAGCGACAGGGGCCACTGATATTTCAAGATCAGTGTCCCAAATTTTGCCTGTGTTTCCAAGAATTTGCTGCTGTCAAAAACCGGAGGGCTTCATTGCTGTCGTTGTCCCCACCCTCATTGCCACCGAGTCCCCATCTTGCGACCTTTTCCCCAACCTCTTTGCGACCTCATCCTGGCCTTCCTGCCACCTCATCACAATCTTTTCCCTATCTCATTGCGATCTTCCATGCACCTTGCCTCCACGTTCCCTCAGTTCATTCCGGTTTTCTCCATTGTCATGTGTTTGCGCTTCCAGCCGATCCCAAATTTCAAGGAATTGCGAACATGGGATCCCTTGGTGTCCCCACATCTTCCATCTGCTGCCTGCAGACAGTCTGTGCACTTTCTCCTGTGTGAACCCTCTGTCTGAGTTCATTACTACCTCATCGCTATGTTTCCACCACCACTTTGCAACGTTCTCCCCACCTCATCACGAGCTTGCCTCTACATCATCCCAACTTTTCGCCCACCTCATCATGATCTTCCCCCGTCGTCATCCCAACCTTCCCCCATCTCTTCGCTACGTTCCATGCACCCTTTTGCAACATTTCTTCCCAGCTCTTCATGACGTTCTCCCCACGTCATCCCAGCCTTCCCTCCACCTCATTGTGATGTTTCCCCCACCCCATCCCAACCTTTCCCCCACCTTATCGCGATCCTTTCCCCTATTTCTTTGCTACCACCCCATTTCATAACACTTCCTCCACCTGATCCCGGACTTCCTCCCACCTCTTGGAGACCGTTGTCCCACCTCAGCCGTTTTTCCCATTGTATCCCGACTTTTCTCCCATCTCACCGTGCCCTTCCCTTGACTTCAGCGCCAACTTCCCCCCCTCCTCAATGAGACCCCTGCCCTGCCCCCCCCCCCCCCCCCCCCTCCCCCCCCCCTTGCCCCAAGGTCCAGAAAAATATGAGCAACAACCCCAGGATTGGGCTTTATCTGACCCCCCACAAGTTTCTTTTCAAAAAAAGGACGACGGTCTTGAGATATCCTCATTGAACAGACTGAGCCCAGGTAATTCTCAATGATTTTTTTCTGTTGATCTGACAGTGTCTCGATTCGAACTTGGGTCTGTATTTCAACAGTTCATGCGTGTACCAACTGACCAATGCCCATTGGTTCTCACCCCCCACAACTACTTTTGGGGAATTTTTTTTTTGGCTCAGGCAGGGCTGGTTCCCGGATGGACCGGGGGGCTCTCCCCCGCCCGGACGCACAGGCAAGTGGACCAGGCCAGTAGGCTCCCGGTCCAGCCCCGCGCATTTTGCCTGGGGGGATGTACGAGGCATTTTTGCACCTCGGGGGGGGTACCGGGCCTCGAAGAGGCCACCACCGCCGGTACACTTGGAAATTGGGGCCAGTGGACTCCACTATTTTGTTCAAACAAAACGCCCGATCTCGGCTGCTGATCCTGGCAGGTCGGCCACGTCGTTTGAAACAAAATGCGGGGTCTGCTGGCCTTGGTTTTCAAGATTCGAAACGTCACCTATCTTGGCCGCACTGAATTGTGCTGCGGCAATCCCCCATGCTGCATCAATGCCCCTCGCGTGCGCTTTCCCATCGTTGTTGATGCTGCGCCCGCTCGCCTCGACATCTCGCCAGCCTGCTATCGCCACCAGCCCGCCATCGCCGCCAGCCTGTCGTGCATTCCTGAGCCAGCCATCACCGCGAAGTAAGGCACCACCACCACCACCACCTCCTCCTCCTCCTCCTCCTCCTCCTCCTCCTCCTCCTCCTCCTTCTTCTTCTTCTTCTTCTTCTTCTTCTTCTTCTTCACACAGAGAGAGAGAGAGAGAGAGAGAGAGAGAGAGAGAGA